TGGTATATATATTCAGCCTTAAGAAAGGATGAGGTCATGTCTTTTGCAGAACATACATGGAACTGGAGGCTGTTAAGTGAAACAAATTAGACCCAGAAAGACAAATACCACATGTTCTCACTTATAAGTGGGAGATAAATAATGTGTACAGTGGACATACAATGTTCAATAGCAAACACTGGAGACTTGGAATGATGGGAGGCTGGAAAGGGGGTGAGGGATGTGAAACCACATAATAGATAAAATATTATTGGATGATGGTTACACTGACTGCTCAGACTTCACCACTACACAACCTATCCACGTAACAAAACTGCACTTGTACCTGTTGTATTTATACAAATAAAAAAGGAGAAAAAGATTATTTCTTAATCAAATTACTTGTTTAGGGGCCTCTAAGGAAAACAACTTCGCATCCAACAGTTGGGCAGCACTGTGAAAAAAATTATTCTTCAAGGACATAGTTTATAGAAGGCTACAACAAAAGACATTTAAAGGCTATTCTATCTATGTTATGATGGCGGTCTTTGCAATCTGTGTCACAATGATTAACTTTGAGAATTTTACTGTAGTCAGCGATATGGTTTGGATCTGTGTCTCATCAAATCTCATGTCAACTTGTAATTCCCAATGTTGGAAATGGGGCCTGGTGGGAGGTGGTTTGATGATGGAGGGTGGATTTCTCATGAACTGTTTAGCAACATCTCCTTGGTGTTGTTCTTCTGCAAGTGAGTGAGTTCTCATGAGATCCGGTTGTTTAAAAGTGTGCAGCATCTCCAGTCAATGGAATATTGGAGTATACATGTCAAAGTAAAGACCAGTATTACCCTTTAGGAATATTCTTCGTTCTCAAAATAATTTCCAACAAATACAAAGTTCCCTAAACATGGTCCTCTAAGTTTGCTGTTTCAAGTGTATTCCCATTATATCTGTCATAGCAAGGTTCAGCCCAAGTCCCAAATTCTTATTGCCCTGGAAAACTGAGACAATATTTATATTTTATGTGTAGAAAAGGAGATTCTGATATCTTCACTTGGATAAAGAAACAATGGAAAACATTTAATTTTCTTTTGTTACTTTTCTCTGTTACTTTAAAAATAACTCCCTTATTATGGTTTTCCAGAATTTGAAGAAAGTATACATATTCATTCAACATACCATAAAAATTTCATAGACTTTGAGCCTGTACCTGCCCAGATATTATCTTGCCATATTAAAGTCTGCTAATTAAAAAAAATCTTTGTTCTTATTATAATTCTCTTTTTCTTATTTTCCTTGGTATATTAGACATTTACAATGGAACATATGTTTGTTATGTACTCTTTGAGATGTGACTATGACCCTAGGTGATGATTACACTGTCTTAAGGTTCACCTGTTTAGAGTTTGGTCCATCATTGACTGATTGATGATTAAACACATTTATGTGTAATATGATGTGTCCATCACTGTTCTAAGTTTTGGGGATACAAAGATGAATAAAACAGGCAAGATTCCCACTTTCATGAAGCTTACATTATATCTAGTGAAACAGATAACCAACAGGTTAAATAAGCAAATGAGATATTATCAGACAGTGATAAACTCCATGGAGAAAATACCACAAGATAATGGGATAGAGAATGATTAGAAGAAGACGTCATCAAAAGCATCTTCTCTGAAGAGGTGACATTTGTGACGAAATCTGTAAAGTAGGAAAAAAACAGCTACCACATTGTGGAGAAAAGCAGTTCAAACAAAGGGGAAAGGGAACAGAACTTGTAAAGGACTTGAAGCTGGAAGAAAGTCAGCATGTCTGAAACAGCACAATACTAAATTTGATTATGCACATTTGATTATGAGGATTTTGAAAATCCTATTGTCAGATATCTTTATGAAGAAACTGAGATCCAGAGAAATTACTTGATTTGTATGAAGTGCCCCAAAGTCTAGCAAAACTAGAACCAACTCTGTTCTTCTGATTCTATTGAATACTTCCCTCTTACTATCCAGCAATAAAACTCAGTGACTCTTTAGGACCTTAAAGAAAATGAGTGGAGAATTAGAAGATACTTAGGAGGACAAGTATCTATTCATTTAAACAATGTCACACTGCTTTCAATAACTTATTAGACTAAGGGTTTAACATTTTTCTAAAGATTAAAACTAATGAGAACGATCCCATTTCTTAGTATATATACAAAGGAAATGAAATCAGCTTGTTGAAGAGATGTCTGCACATCCATGTTCATTGCAGCACTGTCCACAATAGCCAAGATATGGAATCAATCTAAAAAAGGCAGTTACCAGAGTCCGGAAGCTGGGGAGGGATGGAGAAAAGGGAGATTTTGATCAAAGGGTATAAAGTTTCAGTTAGACTTGAAGAATAAGATATACTGATCTATTGTACTATATGGTGACCACAGTTAATAATAATGTACCATGTATTTCAAAATTGCTAAACGAATAGATTTTAAACATCCTCACCACAAAAAAATAATAAGTTGGTGAGATGATGGATATGTTAATTGCTTGATTTAATCTTTCTACTGTATACAATAGTCTTCCCTTTTTCATGTTATGCTATCTGAGGTTGTGGTTACCCATAGGCAACTGAGGTCTGAAAATATTAAATAGAAAATTCCAGAAATAACTCAAAAGTTTTAAATTGTGTGTTCTGAGTAGCATGATGAAATTCCCCAATCCCAGATGTCAATCATCCCTTTGTCCAGCATATCCACATGGTACGTGCTACCTTCTTGTTAGTCACTTGTTGTCTCATGTATAAGATCAACTGTTGCTGTATCCCAGTGCTTGTGTTCAAGTAACCCTTATTTTACTTAATAATGGCCTCCAGAGAGCAAGAGTTGCAATGCTAGCATATTGTTGTAATTGTTCCGTTTTGCTGTTAGTTATTGTTGTTAACCTTTTATTGTGCCTAATTTAAAATTAAACTTTATCATAGGTATATATGTATGAAAGAAACAGCATATATAGGGTTCTTTCTATCCATGGTTTTGTGCATTCACTGGGGGTCTTGAAATGTATCCCCTTTAGATAAGGGGGGACTACTGTATACATATCTCAAAAGACCACGATGTATCCCATAAATATATGCAACTATTTATCAATACAAATTAAAACACACAATGAGAATTTCTTGAAACTAAATATATATTGTATTTAAGACTCAGTTGATGGCTTTATGTTTCAAAGCAATATTTCACATGACGAGTTTCTATTTCCCTTTTTTTTTTTTTTTTTGAGATGTAGTCCTGCTCTGTTGCCTAGGCTGCAGTACAATGGCACAATCTCAGCTCAGTGCAACCTGTGCCTCCTGGGTTCAAGCGATTCTCCTGACTCAGCCTCCCGAGTAGCTGGGACTACAGGTGCCCAACACTGCCCTGGCTAATTTTTGTATATTTAATAGGGAATGGGTTTCACCATGTTGGCCAGGCTGGTCTTGAACTCCTGACCTCACATGATCCTACCATGACCTCCCAAAATGCTGGAATCACAAGCATGAGTCACCGCGCCCAGCTGATGAGTTTCTATTTCTATAGTTAACTATTGTTACAAGCCTTTCCTTAGAGTTTGGTATAGAAGAAACATTATACCATTGAGATTTAACTTACATCAGATTCTTTGTCATCTTCTGGGCTGTGATGGTTAGTTATGTGCGTTATCTTTGCTAGTCTAGACACTTCTGTGAGATTATCTTTTAGATGAGATTAATATTTAAATCAGTAGATTTGGGTAAGCAAATTACCCTCCATAATGCTAAAGGTCCATGGTGTGATGTGGCAATAGGGATATGCAAAACATCATGATTGGATACATCCAATCAAATATTTGTAAGAGGCAAAGTTCTGGGTGAACGTGCATATAATACTTTCACATACTCAAACTAGTGAGTATAATGAAATGGACTAGCTGCTTCTATTACATAATTTCACTAGACCAAGTGGAAAAGAAAGGATGAGTTCAGGAGTTCAAATTCTAAGCTCAAGCACTGCATAAATGGTGTAAAAACTTGTATGTCTGTCCTCAAAGTGACCTATATCTCTTGTAGTGGTAGAACTGAGGTTTCTGATAACCAAATGCAGAATCTCATGCTGTGAATTGGTGATTTACAATGCATATTGAATTCCCATCCTTGCAGGATGTGTACTGTTAAAGCAAGGGCATGAATTGAGAAGAAATGGGCTCTAGAAAATTGAAATGGGGACATATGAGACGATTCTGATGAAGGTGGGAGTATAGAACCCCTGAATTCTGGTCAGTCGTTTGCCAGTAAAGCAGCCACTTCACCCTTGACTGAGATTAACTCTACTTTTTCACTAATGGCATCCCCTGAGGTAATTGCCTTATAGGACAATAGGACCCACTCCTACAACTCCTCTTTGCTTTTATTTATTTACTTTAGAGAGGGTCTCACTCTGTTGCCCAGGCTGGAGTGCAGTGGTGTGATCCCAGCTCACTGCAGCTTCGACCTCCTAGGCTCGAGTGATTCTCCCACCTTAGCCTCCCAAGTAGCTGGGAATACAGGCATGTGCCACCATGCCCGGTTACTTTTTACATATTTTTTTGTAGAGATGGGGTTTCACCATGTTGCCCAGGCTGGTCTCAAACTCCTGGGCTCAAGCGATCCACCCACCTTGGCCTCCCAAAGTGCTAGGATTACAGGTGTGAGCCACCACACCTGACCCCTCTTTGCTTTCACCCCCACAGTCACATAAGCCAATTTCTTAAAATAAATTTTTCCTTTTATATTGCTTTAGAGGAAAGGTAAAATTATAAATCTGGAGTTAAGTGAACGATAGCAGTCCACACTTTTTGGAGTTTTAAGGTTTTGGGAGACCTTTTTTAAAAATGAGAATGATCTGTAGCAACTAAGTGCATTAGGCACAGAGAATTAATCAAAGTCCAAATTCTGATACAATGAAGGCAAATCTAGCATTTGGATGGAAGAGTTTTACCGTTGTCCCATGCCCAGGTGCCCCTTTCAGTCTCTCAGAGCCTTCAGAGGGACTCAGATGTCCCTTTGGTACTAATCACTTTTTTCAGGGCACCTTTGACATCCTTGTTCCTAAGGGTGTAAATCAAAGGGTTGAGTAATGGTGTGATAAAGGTGTAAACAAGGGCAAACTGGCAGTCTTCATCTACAGAGGAGCTGGACTGGGGACGCAAGTATACCAAGGCACAGCAGCCATACTGCAGCAGGACCACGGTGAGGTGGGAGGAGCAGGTGGAGAAGGCCCAGCGGCGGCCCTCGGCAGAACGGATGTGCGGGATGGCGCAGGTGATGAACACGTAGGAGACGCAGATGAACAAGAAGGGGACGGTTAGCACGAGGATGCTCACGACGTAGAGGACAACCTGGTGCACGCGGATGTCGGTGCAGGACAGGCACAGGACGGGAGGTACATTGCAGAGGAAGTGGTTAATTTCCCGGCGGTGGCCGCAGAAGGGCAGGTTGAAGATTAAGGCGGTGAGCTGCAGGGAGAGGAAGACGACCAGACCCATGGCGCCGCCCAGCTTCTGCACACACAGCGTGCAGGTCATGTTGGTGGCAGATGGCCACATTGCGGTCATAGGCCATGATCGCCAAGAGGAAACAGTCAGCACCAAGTGTGAGAAAGAAGAACATTTGGGCCCCACATCCAGCCAATGGGATGGGCTTCTGGGCCCCAAAAATGTTGGAAAGCATCAAGGGCACCACAACGGTGGTGTAGCAGATCTCTACAAAGGGCAGGTTGGACAAGAAGAAATACATCCGGGTTCGGAGAACGCTGTGTAGGCACACAACCCAGATGATGACTGTGTTGCCACAGAGGATCATCAAGTAGAGAAGGAAGAAGAGAAGGAAGAGAAGAACCTGAAATCCAAGGACTGTGGTGAACACATGGAACACAGACTCAGTGAGACTAGACTGGTTGAAGACAGGTTTCCATGCAAGCACATCTTGTGCAAAAGGATAGGAAGCCTTCCTTGACTGAGTTGCTTTATTGCCTGAGTAAAATAAAGAGGGAGGACTTTGTTTCTGAGGTGGGAATTACCTGCCATTGAGGTTCCTTTTTTTTTTTTTTTGAGACAGGGTTTCACATTGTCACTCAGGCTGAGTGCAGTGGCATGATCACAGTTCACTGCAGCCTCTACTTCCCAAGCTCAGGTGATTCCTCCATCTCAGCCTCCTGAGTAGCTAGAACCACAGGCCCATTCCACTATTCCAGTTAATGTTTATATTTTTTGTAGAGATGGAGTCTTTCTTTCTTGCTCAGGCTGATCTCAAACTCCTGGGCTCAAGCTATTCTCCAGCCTCAGCCTCCTGGAGTGCAGGGATTACAGGTATGAGTCACTGCACCCAATCTGATACTCTAATTGTAATTAAACATAGGGAATTATTTTCCTCCGAAATCTTCATGTGTATTTTCTTGAAGAGAAAGAAACAGATTTCTAAAGTGTTTCAAGCATTACACTTTAAAATATAAGTTTAAGATAGTAGAACAGTGGTGTTACTAGGGGAATGAGGGAGAGGAGATAGGAGAGGTAAGTGCAAAGGTATAAACTTGCAGCTGTGTAGGATGAAAAAGTCCAGGATCTAATGCATATATAGCATGAGGATTATAGTTAATATTGTAGTATGCACTAAAAATTTGGTAAGAGAGTAGATTTTAGGTGCTCCTACCGTTAAAAAGTGCTAACTATGTGAGGTGATGGATATGTTAATTTGCTTGAATATACTACATAATTCGCTATGTATATATGTACATCAAAATATGTTGTACACCTTAAATATACACAATAAAATATAAGGATTTATGAATTAGGTCTCTGTTTCTGCTAAAGTTTCATAGTTGTAGAATGGTAAACATCTATGATAAAATATTAGATGATTCAATCATTCTTATTAATCCCAGTGTTTTGGTCTTATAGAGGAGTGGGAACACAACTTTATTGCAATTTTATTTTGATGTATGTTACTTATTTATTTTTACTTATTGAAGTATTTTCTGTAAGACTTCAACTGTGTTTGGAAATCAAATAGATTGATACATAAAGGCATTTAGATGCTTGATAGGCAGTCACAAGACTGAAGCTAGTTGAAGTAAGAAAAGATGATGAGGAAACTAAAAATTCCATAGCAGAAAGAAAATGTGGCACATATACACCACGGAATACTATGCAGCCATATAAAAGGATGAGTTTGTGTCCTCTGTAGGGACATGGATGCAGCTGGAAACCATCATTCTCAGCAAACTATTGCAAGAACAGAAAACCAAACACTGCATGTTCTCACTCATAGGTGGGAACTGAACAATGAGATAACCTGGACTTGGGAAGGGGAACATCACACACCGAGGCCTATCACTGGGAGGGGGGAGGGGGGAGGGATTGCATTGGGAGTTATACATGATGTAAATGACGAGTTGATGGGTGCTGACGAGTTGATGGGTGCAGCACACCAACATGGCACAAGTATACATATGTAACAAACCTGCATGTTATGCACATGTACCCTAGAACTTAAAGTATAATAATAATAATAGAGTCTCCAACTCCCAGCGTGAGCAACACAGAAGACCGGTGATTTCTGCATTTTCAACTGAGGTACTGGGTTCATCTCACTGGGGAGTGCCGGACAATCGGTGCTGCTCAGCTGCTGCAGCCCGACCAGCTAGAGCTGAAGCAGGGCGAGGCATTCCCTCACCTGGGAAGTGCAAGGGGGAAGGGAATCCCTTTTCCTAGCCAGGGGAACTGAGACACACAACACCTGGAAAATCAGGTAACTCCCACCCCAATACTGCACTTTAAGAAAATGGGCACACCAGGAGATTATATCCCACACCTGGCCGGCAGGGTCCCACGCCCACGGAGCCTCCCTCATTGCTAGCACAGCCATCTGTGATCTAACCGCAAGGCAGCAGCGAGGCTGGGGGAGGGGCGCCCGCCATTGCTGAGGCTTAAGTAGGTAAACAAAGCCGCTGGGAAGCTCGAACTGGGTGGAGCTCACAGCAGCTCAAGGGAAACTGCCTGTCTCTGTAGACTCCACCTCTGGGGACAGGGCACAGCTAAACAACAACAAAAGCAGCAGAAACCTCTGCAGACGCAAATGACTCTGTCTGACAGCTTTGAAGAGAACAGTGGATCTCCCAACACGGAGGTTGAGATCTGAGAAGGGACAGACTGCCTGCTCGAGTGGGTCCCTGATCCCTGAGTAGCCTAACTGGGAGACATCCCCCACTAGGGGCGGTCTGACACCCCACACCTCACAGGGTGGAGTACACCCCTGAGAGGAAGCTTACAAAGCAAGAATCAGAGAGGTACACTTGCTGTTCAGCAACATTCTAGCTTCTGCAGCCTCTGCTGCTGATACCCAGGCAAACAGGGTCTGGAGTGGACCTCAAGCAATCTCCAACAGACCTACAGCTGAGGGTCCTGACTGTTAGAAGGAAAACTATCAAACAGGAAGGACACCTACACCAAAACCCCATCAGTACATCACCATCATCAAAGACCAGAGGCAGATAAAACCACAAAGATGGGGAAAAAGCAGGGCAGAAAAGCTGGAAATTCAAAAAATAAGAGCGCATCTCCCCCGGCAAAGGAGCGCAGCTCATCGCCAGCAACGGATCAAAGCTGGACGGAGAATGACTTCGACGAGATGAGAGAAGAAGGCTTCAGTCCATCAAACTTCTCAGAGCTAAAGGAGGAATTACGTACCCAGCACAAAGAAACTAAAAATCTTGAAAAAAAAGTGGAAGAATTGATAGCTAGAGTAATTAATGCAGAGAAGGTCATAAACGAAATGAAAGAGATGAAAACCATGACACGAGAAATACGTGACAAATGCACAAGCTTCAGTAACCGACTCGATCAACTGGAAGAAAGAGTATCAGTGATTGAGGATCAAATGAATGAAATGAAGCGAGAAGAGAAACCAAAAGAAAAAGAAGAAAAAGAAATGAACAAAGCCTGCAAGAAGTAAGGGATTCTGTAAAAAGACCAAATCTGCATCTGATTGGGGTGCCTGAAAGTGAGGGGGAAAATGGAACCAAGTTGGAAAACACTCTTCAGGATATCATCCAGGAGAACTTCCCCAACCTGGTAGGGCAGGCCAACATTCAAATCCAGGAAATACAGAGAGCGCCACAAAGATACTCCTCGAGAAGAGCAACTCCAAGACATATAATTTGCCAGGGTTGGCAAAAGTTGGAAATGAAGGAAAAAATGTTAAAGGCAGCCAGAGAGAAAGGTCAGGTTACACACAAAGGGAAGCCCATCAGACTAACAGCAGATCTCTCAGCAGAAACTGTACAGGCCAGAAGAGAGTGGGGCCAATATTCAACATTCTTAAAGAAAAGAATTTTAAACCAAGAATTTCATATCCAGCCAAACTAAGTTTCATAAGTGAAGGAGAAATAAAATCCTTTACAGATAAGCAAATGCTTAGAGATTTTGTCACCCACCAGGCCTGCCTTACAAGAGATCCTGAGGAAGCACTAAACATGGAAAGGAACAATGGTGCCCAGTAGGTGCGAGCGTGCCCAAATGCAAGACCATCAGAGGCTAGGAAGAAACTGCATCAACTAATGAGCAAAATAACAAGTTAATATCATAATGGCAGGATCAAGTTCACATATAACAATCTTAACCTTAAATGTAAATGGACTAAATGCTCAATTAAAAGACACAGACTGGCAAACTGGATAAAAAGTCAAGACCCATCAGTCTGCTGTATTCAAGAAACCGCTTCCTATGCAGAACATACATAGGCTCAAAATTAAGGGATGGAGGAAGATTTACCAAGCAAATGGAGAACACAAAAAAGCAGGGGTTGCAATACTAGTCTCTGATAAAACAGACTTTAAAGCCATCAAAGATCAAAAGAGACAAAGAGCCGACCCATAATGGATAAAGAGATCAATTCAGGCAGGAAGAGCTAACTATCTAAATATATATGCACCCAATACAGGAGCACTCCAGATTCATAAAGCAAGTCATGAGACACAAAGAGACTTAGACTCCCATATAATAATAATGGGAGACTTCAACATCACTGTCAGCATTAGACAGATCAACTTGAGACAGAAAGTTAACAAGGATATCCTGGAATTAGACTCATCTCTGCAGCAAGCAGACCTAATGAACATCTATAGAACTCTCACCCCAAATCAACAGAGTATACATTCTTCTCAGCACCACATCGCACTTATTCCAAAACTGACCACATAATTGGAAGCAAAGCACTCACTCAGTAAATGTACAAGAACATATAAATTATAACAAACTGTCTCTCAGACCACAGTGCAATCAAACTAGAACTCAGGACTAAGAAACTCAATCAAAACCACTCAATATGGAAACTGAACAATGTATATAGACTGACTACTGGGTACATACTTGAGAAATGAGGAAAGCAGAAATAAAAAGATGTTCTTTGAAACCAATGAGAACAAAGTACAACATACCAGAATCTCTGGGACACATTTAAAGCAGTGTGTGAAATTTATAGCACCTAAATGCTACAAAGAAAGCAGGAAAGATCTCAAATTGACACTCTAACATCGCAATTAAAAGAACTAGAGAAGCAAGAGCAAACACATTCGAAAGCTAGCAGAAGGCAAGAAATAAATAAGATCAGAGCACAACTGAAGGAGACAGAGACACAAAAAACCCTCCAAAAAATCAATGAATCCAGAGTTGGTTTTTGAAAGATCAACAGAATTGACAGACTGCTAGTGAGAAGTAAGCAAAGAAGAAAGAGAAGAAAGTCAAATAGGCGCAATAAAAAATGATAAAAGGGGATATCACCACAAACCCCACAAATACAGCCACCATCAGAAATACTATAAACACCTCTGCCTGGAAATAAACTAGAAAATCATAGAAGAAATGGATAATTTCTGGACACTTACATATTGAAATAAGCCAGGAAGAAGTTGAATCCTAGACAGAGCCAATAGCAGGCTCACAGAATTGAGGCAATAGTGTAGCCTACCAACCAAAAAAGTCCAGGACCAGATGGATTCACAGCTGAATTCTACCAGAAGTACAAGGAGGAGCTGTTACCATTCCTTCAAAACTATTCAATCAATAGAAAGAGGGAATCCTCCCTAACTCATTTTATGAGGCCAACATGATCTTGATACCAAAGCCTGGCAGAGACACAACAAAAAAAGAGAATTTTAGACCAATATCCCTGATGAACATCGATGCAAGAATCCTCAATAAAATACTGGCAAACCGGATTCAGCAGCACATCAGCTTATCCACCATGATCAAGTGGGCTTCATCCCTGGGATGCAAGGCACAGTTCAACATTCGCAAATCAATAAAACGTATTAACATATAAACAGAACCAAAGACAAAGAACCACATGACTATCTCAATAGATGAAAAGGCTTTTGACAATTCAGCAGCCCTTCATACTTTAAAACTCACAATAAATTCGATGACTGATGGAACGTACCTCAAAATCATAAGAAGCTATTTATGACAAACCCACAGCCAATATCACTGAGTGGGCAAAAACTGGAAAAATTCCCTTGAAAACTGACACAAGACAGGGATGCCCTCTCTCACCACTCCCTATTCAACATAGTGTTGGAAGTTCTAGCTGAGGCAATCAGGCAAGAGAAAAGCAAAGGGGAATTCAGTTAGGAAAAGAAAAGAAGTCAAATTGTCCCTCTTTTGCAGACCAGCATAGTTGTATATTTAAAAACCCATTATCTCAAGTCCAAAAATCTCCTTAAGCTGATAAGCAACTTCAGCAAAATCTCAGGATACAAAATTAATGTGCAAAAATCACAAGCATTCTTATACACCAGTAACAGACAGACAGAGAGCCAAATCAGGAATGAACTTCCATTCACAATTGCTTCAAAGAGAATAAAATACCCAAATTCAACTTACAAGGGATGTAAAGGACCTCTTCAGAGAACTACAAACCACTGCTCAGTGAAATCAAAGGCACAAACAAATGAAGAACATACCATGCTCATGGAAAGGAAGAATCAATATCGTGAAAATGGCCATACTGCCCAAGGTTATTTATAGATTCAATGCCATCCTCATCAAGCTACCAATGAAGTTTCTTCACAGAATTGGAAAATACTTCCAAAGTTCATATGGAACCAAAAAAAAACCCATCTCAAGACAATCCTAAGTCAAAAGAACAAAGCTGGAGGCATCACGCTACCTAACTAAACTATATTACAAGGCTACAGTAACCAAAACAGCATGGTACTGGCAAAACAGAGATATAGACCAATGGAACAGAACAGAGTCCTCAGAAATAATACCACACATCACAGCCATCTGATCTTTGACAAACCTGAGAAGCAAGAAATGGGAAAGGATTCCTATTTAATAAATGGTGCTGGAAAATTGGCTGGCCTGCAGTAGAAAGCTGAAACTGGATCCTTTCCTTACTCCTTATACAAAATTAATTCAAGATGGATTAGAGACTTAAATGTTCGAGCTAATACCATAAAAACCCTAGAGGAAAACTAAGTAAGTACCATTCAGGACATAGGCATGGGCAAAGACTTCATGTCAAACACCAAAAACAACAGCCTTAAAAGCCAAATTGACAAATGGGGATCTAATTCAACTAAAAGAGCTTCTGCACAGCAAAAGAAACTACCATCCAGAGTAGAACAGAGCAACCTACAGAATGGGAGAAAATTTTTTTGCAATCTACTCATCTGACAAAGGGCTAATATCAAGACTACAAAGAACTCAAGAAACAAATTTACAAGAAAAAACAAACAACCCCATCAAAAGAAAGTGGGCAAAGGATGAACAGACATTTCTCAAAGAGACATTCACTTAGCAACAGACACATGAAAAAAATGCTCATCATCACTGGCCATCAGAGAAATGCAAATCAAAACCACAATGAGATACCATCTCACACCAGTTAGAATGGCGATCATTCAAAAGTGAGGAAACAACAGGTGCTGGAGAGGATGTGGAGAAATAGGAACACTTTTACTCTGTTGGTGGGATTAGCAAACTGGTTCAACATTACTTACAAAATGGTATGGCGATTCCTGAAGGATCTAGAACTAGATGTACCATATGACCCAGCCATCCCATTACTAGGTATATACCCAAAGATTATAAATCATGCTGCTATAAAGACACATGCACGTATGTTTGTTGCAGCACTATTCACAATAGCGAAGACTTGGAATCAACCCAAATGTCCATCAGTGACAGACTGGATTAAGAAAATGTAACATACACATGATGGAATACTATGGAGCCATAAAAAAGGATGAGTTTGTGTCCTTTGTAGGGACATGGATGCAGCTGGAAACCATCATTCGCCGCAAAGTATCACAGAACAGAAAACCAAACACACACGTATTTCTCACTCATGGAGGTGGGAACTGAACAGTGAGATCACTTGGACTCAGGAAGGGAACATCACACACCGAGGCCTATCCATGGGGGAGGAGGGGAGGGATTGCATTGGGAGTTATACCTGATGTAAATGACGAGTTGATGGGTGCTGACGAGTTGATGGGTGCAGCACACCAACATGGCACAAGTATACATATGTAACACACCTGCACGTTATACACATGTACCCTAGAACTTAAAGTATAATAATAATAAATAAATAATAATAATAATAAATTTAAAAATAAAATAAAATTTAAAATAATAAAATTACTTTAAGGCAAATTTTATCTGAAATATCTATTTTGTGGCATAAAAACCCAGGACAAGATGTTTTAAGTAAAACACATTCTGATCAATGAATCCTATGCTCAATAAATTTGTCAGAATTTTAGGTTTGCCAGTGCTCGTTACTGTCCTTCATATCTATGCTGAAAACAACTAAAAAAATTTAGTTAGTTAAAAATGTCAAAATTAAGTCAATATTGTGTATTTGTAATAAAAAAGTTGGAAAATTAAAGCACAGTAAATACAGTTATATCTAGTGTTGTTTAACTATTATTTATAAAGAACAAAAATTTGAAATATAGTTCTTGAAAAATGCATTATGGAAACAGTTTTAAACCTGTCTACTAAAACTACAAAAATTAGCTGGAGTGTGGTGCCCTCACCTGCAGTTTCCGCTGCACTTGGAGGCTGAGGCAGGAAAATGGCTTGACCCCTGCCAGGAGGCAGAGGTTGCAGTGAGTCGAGATCATGCCACTGCACTCCAGCCTGGCAACAGAGCCAGACTCCATCTCAAAAAAAAAAGTAATCTGTATCTAATATCTCAGTTGATTTTGAAAAGTATGAAAAACGGGCAGGGGAGAAGATAGGTGATATTCTGCTAATTTCCTCAAACTGTTTAAGAAATGATTCAGTATAAACTATATGTACTTAGATGTGAATAATTGTAGAAAAGTTTATTCTACTTATATTCTTTACCTTTTAATAGTAATTAATAGTAAGTACAAATAGAATGTACTTTTCAAATGTACATTGTCTATCATCTATCTATCTTTTCCCCCAAAATAAGAAAAAATGAAAAGAATGAAAGTATCATTCAAAAGGAAAATAAGCAAACAAAAATGGGTAGAGATATATAAAAAAATATTTTTTTAAAGAAAGTTTTTGGAAGAATGGCTGTATCAATTATTATAATAAATGTTGATAGGTATATTTTCCTATAAATATATTGGGGGATTGATTTGAAGAAGCAAAAGAATGTTTTGAAGAGGCAAAAAATGGCACCATGAAAGCTATTACTCTTTTATTCAATACTTTTTCAGAAAGTTCTACAAAGTGAAATAAGCCATGTCCTCAACCAATAAGGGAGTGATGAACATCCTTACTGTCCCTATGAAAACCTCAAGACAACTAGAGAAATTGTTAGAACTAATATGGAAATTCCTCAAGATGACCCAATAATTAACTAATTTCATGTAGTCTTTGTTCTCCTTCCCTCTATGGAACATACTGTCTGTTGGTTATCCATAGGACATCCAGTTCTAAAGCAAGATTTCACTCCTGTACGTCTGAACAACTTCTCTCCCCACCATTTGAGGTTTTTGCTTGTGAAGTCAACTGTGCTTGTTTCCAACTGTCAATAAATGAAAACACATTTAATATTGTAAAGTTAATAGTGCATGAAATGTCAAGCACATTTAATATTGTAAAAGTTAATAGTGCATGAAATGTCGTATACACTATTGAACTATGAACGTGAAAGATGATTCTTTCAATGGATATCAATGTAAATATTTTGAAATTATTTGATAAAAATAAGTTGCAAACAAACAGTAACTTACTGATGAATTAGCTAAGATGGGCAGAGCTACTATATATGTTTGAGGGAAAAGATCATAAAAATCTTGGATAATGTAGCATGCATTTCATTTCACAAGAATCTTTAAAGACACTAATATTGCAAATTGTAGACAATGATTTGGGAATGTGGTTCACATAAGAAAACTTCAGTTTGCAATAATCATCCCACACAAAACACATACACAAAAAGGCTTGATCATACATCAGAGGGTTAGGGGTAGAAATGTTCATTTATATGTCTTAAGTTAAATTTTTATAATGTATACATTTAAAAAATTAATTTCCTTGTAATTGACTTTTCAATTAATTGATCAAGCACTGGCTGCTTTGGATAAAAGGGCTTTTACTATACGTAAAACACAATAGTTGTCCCCATATCGACAATAACTAGTTAGAAAATTGTAATACCAAAAGTCACACAAATATAAAATATCAATAAATGTAACATGTAATAACTAATACAAATTTAAGGCAATTGTTAAAGCTTTTTTGATGGTAAAACTTAATATTTTAAGAATATTATGTGTCTTCAAAATAACACACAATTTTGCTGAAAATCTGGTAAGAATTTCAAGAGAATTTGTGTATGTACATGCACATGTACTTTATAATGTGATTTTAAAGTTTATTTGGAAAAATCAATTGAGAATAAGTAGATGTTAAATAAGAATATTTAGATGTATTCTCATTTAGATGTAAATGAGAATAAGATGTTAAAGTAGATGTTAAAAAACCATTAAAATGTTAAGATGTTTAAAAAGAACAAAAGTGAAACTTGTACTAAAAATTAAAATATTGCATAAATTATAATATTTCATAAATACATAATGTATATAATTGCATCAGAAATGAAAAATAAGTGCAGGAATAGAGATACAGTTCCATAAAACAAAAATACCCACGAATACATGAGTCTTAAATACACAGTAAAGTCAAGATAGGATAACAGAGTGGTTCAGAGCTCTTTGCCATCAGACTACTTGTGTTCTAAGTAATCTTGGATACTTTACATAAAATCTTTATACTTCAATTTTCTCATCTATCATATGGGAATAATAAATGTACTTACCAATAGGGTTTCTGTGATGATCCGATGAAAATAAATAAAAGGCACTTAAAGCTAGTGCCTATAAACATCTACTAAATGTCAGCTCTTACTGTTTTTCAAATAACCACAGCTTTGGAATAATGGGCTAATATTTGTTGTGACATTATTTTCCTGTTACTATAAACTAAAGCTTATTTTGGATGATCAAAATTTATATTCTCAAAAAGTGAAATCATAAAGGTAATAGAAGACTGTATAGTTAAGGACAAAACTAAGACTTCATTGCAACAAGCTTAATTATTAGAAGGTAGAATCCACCTTGCAATCTTTGGTTCTTGGATTTTGCACTTTTAATATATATCAATTGCTTTGCAATTTAGTCATCGACGTTGCAAAAATACGCGCAGAAAAGACAGCTTAGTTGGACAATTCTGTCGCAGTGTCTGAAACAAACACCCAAACTCTGTCTGGGTCTAAACTTGTAGGAGAGGGAGGCAGTCTCCTATGAACTGAGAGTTGAGAAGTCTCCAAAAATATCTCCTGCCTCAGTGTTCCTCTAAAGGCACTGACACTGTGAAGGAATTTCTTGCTAAGCATTCCTACAAGAAAACGCACAGGCTTTAAAATCTCCCCACCTGCGTTTAATCCTGACTCTGCCCCCTGCCAGGTCTCTGGCTTTGGGAAATTTACTCAGTAAATAAAGCTTACAAAGCAGTTTTCTTAGGTATCTTGCAGAGTTAGTGTGAATATCAGTAAAAAAAAAAAAAAAAAAAAATATATATATATATATAAATATATATATATACATGGAAAGTGCCCTGTGCTGTGCCTAGCTTTTCTTTCCTGAAACGTTTTTTATTGCAAAATACACATAACATAAAATGTACCGTCTTAAGCATTTTAAGTGCAGTTCAGCAGTGTTAAGTACATTTATATTCTTGTGCAACCATCACCTCACTACCATCTGTCTTCAGAACTCTTTTCATCTTGCGAAAATGAATCTCTAAACTGTTAAACAATGATTCCCGTTTCTCCCTATCCCCAGCCTCTGGCAATCACTGTTCTACTCTCTGTCTCTATAATTTTGACTACTTTAGAGTCCTCATAAAAGCGAAATAATACAGTTTTTATCTTTTGTGACTGACTTATTTTGCTTAGTATGTTTAGCTTTTAATACGGGTTCACCCCTTCCCAGTCCCTTACCCTCTCCAATCACTTGAATACTATCTTACCTCCTTGAAATCATGGAAACTCCCTCAGCCTGACAACCTTTTTGTTCTTTCATTTTCTTAGCTAATTTCTGAAGCTTGCAGCTCAGGATTCAGCTCAAAAATTAGTTATCTAGAAAGCATCACTAATTCTCATCTTCCTCTCACCTTCAGGATAAGGCGTCCCTCCCGTGAACTACTATAGAACTGCGCATGTTTCTCAATTACAAAACTGTTAGCCCTGCATCAGGCTAATTGCTAACAAGTGAGCAAGCAGATAAGCAAGGAAGCTAGCCAGCCTTTATTGAGCACTTTATATGCTGGAATCATATTCTCAGCTCTGTAGGGGAATACGAAATAAAATTATATTAAAAAAAGTCCATGTTGGCCAGCCACGGTGGCTCACACCTGTAATCCCAGCACTTTGGGAGGCCGAGGCGGGCACATCAAGAGGTCAGGAGTTTGAGACCAGCCTGACCAATATGGTGAAACCCAGTCTCTACTGAAAATACAAAAATCAGCTGGGCGTTGCGGTGTGTGCCTTTAATCCCAGCTACTCAGAAGGCTGAGGCAGGAGAATTGCTTGAACCTGGAAGACAGAGGTTGCAGTGAGCCGAGATTGCACTACTGCACTCCAGCCTGGGTGACAGAGTGAGACTCCGTCTAAAAAAAAAAAAAAAAAAAAAAAAAAGAAAGGTTCTTGTCCTCAATTATATAAAGGAGATCTGACATTTAATGAAATCTGGGAAAAAAATCTTCTAAATTAAGGTTTTTTAAAATTATCTTTTTAGAAAATTAGATATAAAATACTCCTTCTCCCAAATAGAACAATACGTAGATAGATCAACAGATAGATAGATAGATGAATGGATATATAGATCCATAGATAAATAGAGCAACGCCTAAAAACATAGGTAGACACAAAGATGCATATATACATAGTCAAGCACATTTGGGAAACACTAAAAATTCTATCTCTTTGTGATCCACAATGATATTAGCATTAAAAGCCTCTGAGAATTATGTATTATACATGAGAAATATGTATAAATTTAACTCTTTTAAAAAAATTTATTTCTGTATGAAATGTTTTTTTCACACAGTTCAACTAGCATTTCATAAAAGCCTCTTTAGATGCTGTAAAAAGCATTTCAGATATAATAATAAGTTACATCGTGATATTTAGGCAGTATCTAAGCTATCTTTACGTGTTAATTCAGTTACACTTCACAGCAACACCATGGGACAGGTAATATTTTAATGTCTTTCGTGCAAATAAAGAGCTGAGGTCTCAAAAGATTA